CCCCCCCCCCTCCCCCCCCTCTGCCGCCGCTGGCCGGCCGCCGCCCGGACGCTGCTCAGTCAACCCGTCAGCGGCGCGCGCGTCCCGGCGTTCAGGGTGTGTGGATGTGTGTGTGGGGAGGGTCTGTGTGGGGGGGGAGGGTCTCACCGCAGCAGCCACCGCCCGGCCTCTGCTTCGCCCGCTCCGCACTCGTCAGGTGGGCTGCGGGCCGCAGCAGTTCCGTGCCTCTGGCACCTTCCAGGCGGTGCGCTGTTGCACCCCTTTGCATGCCGCCCTTCCCACGTGCGATGGCATCGGCCCTCATTTTCTGTGCACGCGTCAGGCACGTCCTGGCCACCCAACGGCAAAGGCTTGGGCGTAAACGGTCTGCGCGCGTCCCGCCCCAGAGCTCTCTGTTTTGGAACAGCCGGCCAGGAAGTAACAACAACATGTGTAGAGGGCAACAAAATCCAACCCCAGAATCACCACCCCGACAAGCGAGGCCGTCTACCAAACGCCCCCGCTGAAGGAACCGAAGAGGGCAGGGCTGTTTAGTAAACGCCCCGGGCCGTTTAGTAAACGCCAGTTGTCCGGTCCGGGCGGTTTTTCCTCACTTGAATGTGTGGGGAGAAGCGGGCTGCGAAGCGCGAGCCATTGGCCTCGCCCTTGCTCTCCTGATCCCCTCCCCCCCCCAAACCTGCCCGCTGCCCTCCTCACCACGCCGCTTGCTCCGTCCCCGCTCGACCACTCCGCAGGCGCGCCCCCCTCCCCCTCACACAGCAGCATCGCCCCCCAGCCTCCTCCTCCTCCCCACCCTCCCCCTCCTCCTTCTCCCCTCCTCCTCCATCCTCCTCCCCCCCCCCCCCCCCTTTCCCCCTCCTCTCCTCCTCCTCACCTCCCCCTCCTCCTCCTCCTCCTCTTCCTCTCCTCTCCTCCCTCCTCCTCCTCCTCCTCCCTTCCTCCTCCCTCCTCCTCCTCCCACTCCTCCTCCTCCCCTCCTCCTCCTCCCTCCTCCGTCCTCCCTCCTCCTCCCCTCCCCTCCTCTGCCTCCTCCTCCTCCTCCTCCTCCTCCTCCTCCTCCTCCTCCTGCCCTAGGCCCAGCCCTCCTCTGGCACATGCTTGTGTGGACGGCCGCCACCAGTTCGACCTACGCGCTGGCCCCCCGCTGGGAGCTCACTGGGCCCGCGGAGAGAGCCTCCTTGGCTCCACGCCCCGACGATGGGCTGCCGCCCGTGGCCCCTTCGGGGCCACGATCCTGCCATTGCAACGACTTGGTTGGAGTCTGGCCCCCCCTCTTGCTTTAGCAGCTCGCAACCGCAACCACTCTTTCACGACGAGCTGCTCGCCGGTGTTCGTCCCGCAGGCCATGCAAGAAGACTGGACCAACAGTTTGAAACATCAGGCTGCTAGCAAGCCCGGCGCGACAGGGGCCCGCCTCGATCCCTCAGTTGCCCTTGTTGCCCTCAACAAGCATTCTCTGACCATGCAGGAAAAGGGTTGCCTGCTCACCGTTCTCACGCAGGGGTGTGAGCTAAGGACGCGGGCTGTCCAGTCGAGACTCAGACCATCAGACACAGGATTTTTGAGCGTGCCATGTCTAGGAACAAGAGAGAGCTTTTAGCACAGCGGAGCTGGACACTTTGCAGGACTTGAGAAAGGATTCTTGGCCCGTTTCGGTTTTCAGCGAGAGCCTGAGCTTTCCGTGGGAGCCACTGGATAAACGACATCCAGTTCTGATGCACGGGCCCTGATGTGTCCATGCACGAAGCCTTTGAAGGCTATGCCTATACTGGCGGCAGCTGCAACAACTCGACTCATCCAGTGTACCATGCAGCTGGCGTTTCGGTATTGGCTCTGAGAGACAGCGAACCTGTCGCCATTCTCTACGGCCAACTCGGGCAGCAGTGCAAGCAGACGTCAGGAGTAGCAAAACAGCTGGCGATCCCGGTTGCGTGCCATGCGGCCCTGCTGGTCACTCACGTGCACACGTGCCGCTCTTAACCTTCACCTTGCCCCTCGCTATCCGCGCAGGCCCGTGCTGGGAAGCTTCAAGGTGCTGGCAGGCGCGTGTGTTGTGAATCTAGCCATGTGTTTCTGAAGGTCAAATGCCACCAGGACATAGAAGCAGCTTTTTCCAGCCCTGAAGAGAAGCAGCATGCCCTTGGCAACCACGCCGACGACAAGGCTGCTATAGGCAAGCGGCCCAGCTTCTGGTCGAGCCTAGTCCTCTTGAGCTCGAAACGCACGCCGACCAAACGAAGCTGATGAGAAGATGTTTCACTTACGTTGCCCGCATTCTTCCCAACTGGCCCGCTTTGGCCCCCAAACGTGGGAAGAAACGGTTTGAGGCCCCCACGAGTTCCGACCCCCCCGTAGGAGCCGCGTCCGCTCCTCACGTGTGAAACCCTGGGACGTCTCATTTGGCTGAGCCCGAGGTTGCGGACGCGACTCATAACTGGGAATCTATCAGGGGTAAGTGGATATGCACGGTTTGTCGAGGTTCTGTCAAGTCCAGCCTGACACAGATAGCCCGTGCCAACGAGAACTGCCCAGAGTACTGTGAATGAATGGCTCGCTTAGTTCAGGACCCTCGGAGGCATGATCCGTTGTGGCTCGAATATTTGGACAGTTCGAGTACCATGGTCCTCTGCAAAGATTGCGGCTCTTATATGGAGCACTACAGGGGCTTCCATTCGCAATGCCCGAGAATGCCTCAGAGTTCGGGTGCTGCTGACCGTCTCGCCGAGGCACTCTCTCTCTCTCTCTGCGTCGCCCGAAAGGGGTGCAGAATTCGGCCGTCGTGTTCAACCCCCTAGAGGAAAAAACTATGCACATACACCGATTCTGGCCAGGCCCATCCTGAGCCCAGGATCGGTGCATACGCCCTCCTACCTTGGCCAGGAAGGCATATGCACCGATCCTGGGTCAAGGATGGACGCTGTCAGGGTCGGTGCATGTGCATAGCTCTCCTCGCCCGACCCCCCCCGCCCCCCTGGCCCAATTTTACCGCCAAGCCCTGACGGAACTGCAGCCCGAGGCTCTGCTGCAGGGGCATGTTCCGCCTCACGAGCCTCGGAGGCACAGCGCCCTCGTCTCCGCGCGGGGGCGCGGGGGCCTCACCGGCAGTGGCCACGAGCCACAAGGTCTCGGGTTGGGGTCGGGTCGGCCAACCCTTGGCCTTCCCATGGCCCAACGGCGGTCCTCCTCCTGCTCCTCCTCCTCTTCCTCCTCCGCCTCCTCCTCCTCCTCCTCCTCCGCCTCCCCCTCCGTTCTCTTCTCCCTCGCCTCCCTCGGCCGGATCGTCTCACCCGGGCCTCCCCCCTGCCGCCAGGGGGAGAGCGCCTTCGACGAGTTCACCTCGGGGGTGCCGTGGCTGCACGCCGCCTGGCTCTCGGCAGAGGGGGGGGGGCAGGCGAGGGCGAGCGCGAAGGGCGAGAGGGGATGAGGAGAACAAGCATTGTTGCCTGCGCCGCGTCAAGCAGGCCACATGCACTACTTTGCAGGGGCGTGGCACCCCGGGGTAGCGCACGGCCCCATGCACGAGGCCATTGGTGGGGAGGTCAGCCGGTGCCCCCAGAGCGCTTCGTGTAGAGTTCCCTGCTGGGCCAGCCCGAGGTTGCAGGTGAATGAAAAGCGAATGAGGGCGAGGCAGATGATGGTGATGATGATGATGGTGATGATGATGATAATGATAATGATGATGATGATGATGCTGATGATGATGATGATGATAATGATGATGATGATGAAGATGATGATGATGATGATGATGATGATGATGGTGATGATGATCATGGTGGTACTGATGGGGATCATGATGAGGATGATAATGATGATCATGATGGTGATGGTGGTGGTGATGGCGATGATGACAATCATGACGACGGTAGTTGTGACGATGCTGTTGATGATGGTGATGCTTCCCATGATGGTGGTGGCGATGACGATGATGGTGGAGATGAATTTGACGATGATGATGGTGGTGATGATGATGACGGTGATCAACCGCAGTTCAGCAGTCAGAGAAGAAGTCACCATCACGCGAATCACGTATTTCAGTGCACCCCTCCGGCTCTCCGCCGCCGCCAGTGGATCCGCAGGCCGCCGTCGGCCGGCTCGCCACGCCGTCAAGCCGGACGAGCGGCCCAGGAAGCACAGGGCGACGTCGGCGATGGCGGCAGCCGAGACCTGCTCCAGCGCCAGCCGAGCTCGGCGCCGCTGCGGCCACTAGCGCCGCACCGCGAGGCCACCGTGTCGGCCGCGTGGCGGAGGTTCGCCTGGCTGGCAGCACCGAGCGTGCCGCAAGTGTCGACAGGCGAGGGCTGAGACCCGGCTTCCGTACCGCGTCAGCTTCTCGAGCTACTGGGCACCATGATTACCGAACACGCTTAGAATCGTGTAGAACTTGCGTTGTCTTCCTTCGTTTTTTTGTTTATTAAACTTGACAACTAAATTTGTTAATGTGATTCGCAAGCTATGACCATCACCGAAGCAGGGGCCGCAGCTGCGCGGCAGCCTTGAGCGTTGCGGGCGCTGTTCGGACACCGCACCGTCAAGGATCGCTTCGGATACGACGCATCGTCGGCCGTCGTCGTCGTCATCGTCGCCGTCGTGGTCGTCGTCGCCGTCGCCCCCACCTTCGCCGTTTCCGTCGTCGTCGTCGTCGCCGACGTCGTCGCCGCCGTCCTTGTCGTCGTTGCCGTCGTCGTCGCCGTCGTCGCCGTCGTCGTCGTCGTCGCCGTCGTCGTCGCCACCGTCGTGGTCGTCGTCGCCGTTATCGTCGCCGTCGCCGTCGTCATCGCCGTCGCCGCCGTCGTCGACGTCGTCGCCTCCGTCGTCGACGTCATCGTCGCCGTCGCCGTCGCCGTCGCCATCGCCGTCGCCGTCGCCGTCGTCGTCGTCGTCGTCGTTGTCGTCTTCGTCGTCGTCGTCCTCGTCGACGCTCCCCGCCGCCGCCGCGAACCGCCGCCAGCGCGTGCCCGGGGGGGGTGTCTCGAACCCCCCGCCTGGCCGGTTCGGACTGACCCCCCCCTCTGCAAGCGCCGACAGAACGCGCTCTTTCCAAAGTCATCAGCCACAGTGCCCAGACGGGCAAAAGCGAGGATTGCGGGAAGGGGCAGCAAGCGGAGCCGCATTCCAGCGCCATCAGATGCAGTGCTGAGACCAGTCCGCCTGGAGGTTCTCACGAGGAGGAGCGTGAACTCCTCGTGGAAGAGCTTAAGGGTGCTATTCTCGCTGGTGAGAGCGCTATTCTCTCCGATGCCATGGAAGACGTCACTGCGTCAGCCAGGCTCGTCAGCTGCAATGCGAAGCCACTGTTGGGCAGGCTGGTGCTGGGTGGTGCACGTGCTGGATTCGGCTCGGTCCCCCGTCGCCTCGCTGGGCTCGGCTCGTTTCGCGTCGGGCCCGCGCGGGGCTCTCGGTGTGAAAGGTTCCTCGGCTCCTCGTCGCCTGCACTGCACTTATTCCCTAGGAGAGGCAGCTATAACCAATTGCCTCAAGTTCGACCGACCGGCCGGGGAGAAGGAGGAGGAGGAGGAGTTCTCTGGCGGTTCTCGGGAGATGCTGTGCACTGGGCAATGGGACGAACACTGTCGGAGATTCCCGATGCGCTTCGGAAACTTCTGTGAAGCTTCTGTACCTTGTCGGGAGGTTTCTGGAGGCGGGAAGGCTTCTGGAGGCGGGAGACGCTCGAGCCTTCGCAACGGGATCCAGACCTCTGACACGGATTAACCTAGTCCATCTTCGGGCCCCAGGAGACTCCCCTGGCCATCGAGTCCTGGAAAGGGGCAGAAGGGGGGAGCAAGGAGGGAGGTGTGGAAGGAACACGTTCCCCTACCACCCGAGCACGGTAAGGCCGACCGAAAACGTCGTGCCTTCTTACTCCTGCCCAGAAATCCGCCGGCCCCCTTGTGGGGCCACCAGGCTGCGAGGCGCGTGATTCGCAGTTTCCTGTGCCAGTTGTAGTTTCTAGTTTCCAGTGTTACAGTTCTGCTTCTTGCTGGTTACTGTAACTAGTTGACTTCTTGCTGGTTACTGTAACTAGTTGATTGACCGCGCGAGGGGGGGGGGAGGCCCAAACAAGATTTTCCAGCGTCCCCTGGGCGCGTTGTCTGAATTACTGGGGGGGCTCGAAATCGACACCCCTCACGCAGATCCGCGGGGTCAGGGTCCAAAAACACATGGGATTTGCCACATTTCTGAAATTCGGTGCCACCCCTCACGCAGATCCGCGGGGTCAGGGTCCAAAAACACAGGGGATTTGCCACATTTCTGAAATTCGGTGCCACCCCTCACGCAGATCCGCGGGGTCAGGGTCCAAAAACACATGAGATTTGCAACATTTCTGAAACTCGGTGCCACCTCTCACGCAGATCCGCGGGGTCAGGGTCCAAAAACACATTAGATTTGCCACATTTCTGAAACTCGGTGCCACCTCTCATGCAGATCCGCGGGGTCAGGGTTCAAAAACACAGGGGATTTGCCACATTTCTGAAATTCGGCGCCACCCCTCACGCAGATCCGCGGGGTCAGGGTCCAAAAACACAGGGGATTTGCAACATTCCTGAAATTCGGTACCACCCCTCACGCAGATCCGCGGGGTCAGGGTCTAAAAACACAGGGGATTTGCCACATTTCTGAAATTCGGCGCCACCCCTTACGCAGATCCGCGGGGTCAGGGTCTAAAAACACAAGGGATTTGCCACATTTCTGAAATTCGGCGCCACCCCTTACGCAGATCCGCGGGGTCAGGGTCCAAAAACACAGGGGATGTGCCACATTTCTGAAATTCGAACCCATCTCGCACATCCATCGCAAGGCGTGGTAACCCAAACTGCGAGAACTCCCTCGGCCCTTTCATCGCAAGGTGTGGTAACCAAGCCCTTAAACCACACACGTCTTACCAATCGCCAGGTGTGGTAACCTCTCTTGTGATCAGTTGGTTTTGCTGATTGCGACTCGGCTTCGCATGAAGTTTCGATACTGCTTCACGACAGCGCCAAGGCCTCATGACATGGCCCATTCTCCGAGAGAGGGGGCCGGCGGCAGGGGGCGAAGCCCTTACGGATAAACAGAAAGGCTCGCGACCACTATATGGAGAGCAGTTATACCATATGCAGAGACCGCCATGCGAAACCCAAACAATCTGGGGAGCATGATGTGGCCAGGCACCCTCGACTCAGTGTATGCTCAACATGCCCCTGAGGTCGCTGACACCACCAAGCCCCCCACACAGCCGCTCACGATTTCCTGCTCACTGGGCCCGCTTTCTAACCAAAGTGTGGCAACGCATGCTGACTACCTACCAATCCACCCCAACCCAACCCGAAGACCTGAATTTCGGGTTGGTGGGATACGGGCTTCAGATGTGTTTTTCAATGTCCCCCGACCCCCCCCGCTGGACATGGAGGGCAAATTGGAGCATTTGGGTTTGGTTGGGGTAGTTTGGTGGGTGGTGACATGGCAGTCCGAGCGCATGGAGCCTGGTAGTCCGAGCAGCAGTTGTCATGTAATGGGCAGCGCACGTTGCACTGGCACTCCTCCCAGCCGCGCGGGCCGCGCAAGCCACATCCGGCGCGGCTGCACCAGGGTCGCTGGTGTCACAACTTTAACACTCCCCTATTGGTCAACAGCCCCGCCGTCGATCACAAACCAAACTTCCTGAATGCGTGGTCAATGACCGACGCGGTGGAGCAACTCTCGGATGACATAGTGCTATTGCCCAACATCCCCAGGAGTGCCCTCACGGACGCCTTCCGGTTCCAAGCGGAACCTTGCCTGCGGTGAAGGACGGAGGGAGGGGTCGGTGATGGGGGGCGTCTTATGCTGAAGCACAGGCACGACAACCACAGCAGACTTCCCCAGAGGCTGGCATCACTACCTAGATTCTAGCCCGAGGAGCGACTCACGAGTGGTCAGTTGCATGCTGGCCGTTCGCGGTTCCGAGATGGATCAGCCCGATATAGACTTACAACTCCCATGTGAACAAATGCAGGCAACACTCCTACGCGGTTCGTTGACATTCAGCACGACAATGTGTATTGTTTCACTGTCCGCCTTGGAGTCTTTTTCCCAATCAATGCTTGCCAATAGTTAACCCAGACCCCCGACGTCATGAATTTTTCATGACGTCGACCCCCAGAAGTCCGGACCCATTCCCCAGGACCGGTTTTTCGTCCTGAGTCGTTTTTTGACGGTCCCGAGGGCCGGTAAGGGCCCCCAAAGGCCGAAAATCATGAAAAACCTCGCGTCGTGTTTTTTTCATAACTCGAGGGGGTCTGGGAAGGCTTCTTCCTTCTCTCTGAAAGGCTGGCGGTCCGGCGGGCTCGTCGTCGCCCCCCGCCGCCGGCCGCCGCCGCCCGCTGGAGCCCGGCTGGCCATTCGGACAACTCGTCGTCGCCCGTCGCCGCCGCCGCCCACTGGGCCCGTGCGTCGGTCTGGGCGGCTTGTCGTCGCCCGTCACCGCCTGTCGCCACCGCCCGCTTGCACTGCTTCGCGTTGAGTTGCATTGACTACCTACCAGACCACCCCAACCCAACCCGAAGACACGAATTTGACCCGAATTTCGGGTTGGGGGGGGGTACGGATTCCATGTGTTTTTTCAATGTTCCCCGACCCCCCCCCACTGGAAATGGAGGATAAATTTGGGCCTTCGGGTTGGGTTGGGGTGGTTCGGTGGGTGGTGATGCATTGCGCCACGTAGATTGCGCCACACAGCTTGCACTACAGAATTTGCGCCACATCGGTTCACATTTCTGACAAAATATAGGTTCCATCCTCGCCCGGATTATCGCCTCCCCATTGGCACACACAACTCTGCCTCATCGCCCATGCCATCCCAGGGAGTCCCCTCATTGCCCTCCTCATCCCTGTTGAATATTAGTTTGCGCGCGCACTCGCTGATAAAAACCATGGGGCACAGTCCAAACGCGAGCGTCGTTGCACGAGCATGTCAAAATTATTCAAAACCGGAGCTTTTGTAAGGGTTCCGAGATCGAGATCCCCGAACACATGCGCAACACAATTGTGCCCAACCATTGTTTACCCAAAAAACTGCCCGCGCGGTTTTGCGAATTCGTAAGGGGGCCACGAGATGATTCCTGGCTCGCAAACATGGACTTGACCCGGCGTTGGACCTGTAATTCATGCGCGTGCCGTCCGCATCACGAGGCAAGTCCACGCAAAGCAAAGAGAACGATGCCAATGCCGATGCAATCAAGGCGCTACATCACAGTACGCTCCAACTCGTGAAGACATGGCCCGAGTTCCTAAAGCTCCGCCGCGGGGAGATCAGCGGAGGAGGGCGACGAGGAAAGAGAGGCGGAACACTGCATTGCATCCGACGGCGCCATCAACATCCACTCAGACATTGTGTATCCCAGGGCCGTCGCAGCCGCGGACTTAAACCCACCCTGGACCCATGCACGGAGACAGCACCGTGCGAAGAAGGGCACGAAGGCAAGCGAGACGAAGCGCGGGCGAGGACGGAGGGGGCGAGGGCGGAACGGCACTGCATACCTGCACAGCGCCTCGGGCGCTGCGGATTCCAGAAAGATGCCCCAGCACCACAGGCTGGCTGGGACAAAGAGATGCGCATGCTTCTGCTCGGCATGGTGAATACGAAAGGGTGTGGGAGCTCACTCCTACCCGCTGCTGCGGGGGGGTCTGATCACATATGGTTGGGCGCCGCTGCATGCGCTGCGAGAAAGATGGCCCAGCACCACAGGATGGCTGGGAAAAAGAGATGCGCATGCTTCTGTTCGGCATGGTGAATACGAAAGGGTGTGGGAGCTCACTCCTACCCGCTGCTGCAGGGGGAGTCTGATCACAGATGGCTGGGCGCCGCGGCATGCGCTGCGAGTCCGCCCCCCGAGACGAGGGCGCTATGAGAGACCTGCGATGCACGCCCTCGGCGTCAAGCCGAACAGTCCGTCCCCTTTCCTGCCCTCCTCCCTCCTCCTCCTCCTCCTCCTCCTCCTCCTCCTCCTCCTCCTCCTCCTCCTCCTCCTCCCTCTCCTCCTCCTCCCCCTCCCCTTCTTCCTCTCCTCCCAGACAATTGGATACCGATATTCTCGGTCGCGATCGGTAGCGACCGATCGGTACTCCAAATCGGTCGCGGCCGATCGCGACCGATCCCGGAATCGGTCGCGGCGGTCGCCACCGATCGGTCGCGACCGGTGCTGAAGCAAGTCGGTCGCGACCGATACCAAAAATTCGAACCGAAATCGGTGGCGACCGATCTCGTCGGTCGCGACTGGAGGACTCCAGCATCCAATGATCAGGGCGGGCCGAGCCTGGACGCACCCCCGCCGTCCGCCTGAGCCGCACCCCGCCGCCGGCTCCTGGTGGGCGGCGTAGGCACCGCACCCGTAGTCCGCGCAGGAGGCGCTGTGGGTCTGGGGCAGGCAGACCGCCTGCCCCCCGTGCCGAGGCCCTCCTCTCCTCCTCCTCCTCCTCCTCCTCTCCCTCCCTCCCCTCTCCTCCTCCTCCCTCCTCCTCCTCCTTCCTCCTCCTCCTCCTCCTCCTCCTCCTCCTCCTCCTCCCTTCCTCCTCCTCCTCCTCCTCCTCCTCCTCCTCCTCCTCCTCCCCTCCCTCCTCCCCTCCTCCTCCTCGCCTGCCCCCCGAGAGCCGAGGCCCTGCCCGCGGCCCCTCGGCCAGCGAGGGCGGCGCAGCGCCGACGCACCCCCCCCCACGACTCCGCCCGGCCTGCTGCGTGCCCGAATAGGAGCTCAGAAAGGCCACCCCACGCTCCCCCCCCCCCCCCCGGGGGCCCGCCTGCCCCGCTCCGAGGCCGACATCATCCCCGCCACCCGTCCTTTCCTCCTCCTCCCTCCTCCTCCTCCTCTCCTCCTCCTCCTCCTCCTCCTCCCTCCTCCTCCCTCCTCCCCTCCTCCTCCTCCCTCCTCCTCCTCCTTCCTCCTCCTCCTCCTCCTCCTCCTCCTCCTCCTCCTCCTCCTCCTCCTTCCTCCCTCCTCCTCTCCTCCTCCTCTCTCCTCCTCCTCCTCCTCCTCCTCCTCCTCCCTCCTCTCCTCCTCCTCCTCCTCCTCCTCCTCCTCCTCCTCCTCCTCCTCCTCCTCCTCCTCCTCCTCCTCCTCCCACCCCAGCGGCAGGCAGGGCGGGCGGCAGTCGGGCGACGGCGGTGCTTCCCCTGCCGCCCACCCGCAGCTCCTCCGGAATTGTCCCCCTCCCTCCGTCCTTGCTCCTCTCTGCAAGGAGCAGAGCAGATATCAGACGTCCCAGCAACGAGACAACGTAACAAAGAAAGCGCGGTCTTCTGATGCTGACTCCACGGGCGGCGCGCAACATGTGCAGTGTGAGACAGCCCACCAGCGCGGCAACAGAGGCGGACATGTGGACCATCGTGACAAATTAAATCAAGTGTTCACACATCGGGGCACACGCACACGGCCTGACAAGGAAATTCATTCGCACCAGGCTGGGAACACCGCTATGTCAACCTACGAGGTCACAGCTGGGGGCCCGGCAGTGCGATCAACAAAGCGACACCACGATTCCGAGGAGCAGTGGAGAGGAGGACACTGTCGACATGGAGCTGGAGAGATGAGTGGGCAGCATGGTTGTCAAAACTTGCTGCTACGCGCACGGGTGGCTCCTGCCTCGTCGTTCTCCCATTCATCATCAGCATCACATTCCCCCTCCTCCTCCTCCTCCTCCTCCTCCTCCTCCTCCTCCTCCTCCTCCTCCCGGGAACTTCTGCTCCGCGTGTCGACGCTGCGGCCCGCGCTGCACGCTGCGCGCGGGGAGCTCGTGGCGTGCCGCTCCGCTCCGCGGGGCGGGAGTTGGGCAAAAATCTCGGGACGTCGAGGCCAGTGGGAACCGAGGTGGTGGGCGTGTCGCGCCGAGCCGTGGTGGGCCAGAGCAGGCGGCGCGACACCGCTAAGCCAACGTTCCTGACCGCAAGAGCTGGGAGGAGGGGGACGGCGAGATCCACGGAGGCCGAGGGCCGACGGGAGGCCGGCCGAGAGGAGGAGACGTGCGGGGGAAAGGTGCGCCTCGCGCCACCGTGGCTCCAGGGGGACCTCCACCTGCGGTCCCGCTGGACGCAGACGCATGCTGACCCGCGCCCGTGTCGGAACACCCCTCACGCAGATTCTGGCCCGAAGGGAATATCGCGTAATCGATCCTAATCCCCAGCGGCGTGGCCTGGGCCCCACAAGCCGATCTACCCCCTAGAATGGGGTAATTAATTATAGGCCCTTCCCTTCGGGTTTCGAGGAGTGTCTCCCCAACTGGGGGTAACTTGGTGGGGGTCTCGAAGGGGACAGGGATGGGGATTGGTCCAACGCTACCGACGCAGGGAGCTCAACCTACGGTCTCGCTTGACGCGGACGCCTTCGGGCCCGCGCCCATGCCGGCGCACCCCCCACGAAGGCCGTGGCCTAACAGGTGGCCCCCCCCCGCGGGCTCCGTGGGCGCAGAGGCGTCCGGGCCTGCACATGACTACCTACCAGACCACTCCAACCCAACCCGAAGACCCGAATTTCGGGTTGGGGGTAAGGGTTCCACATGTGTTTTTTCGACGTTTCCCGACCCCCCCCACTGGAAATCGAGGGTAAATCTGAGCCTTCGGGTTGGGTTGGGGTGGCTTGGTGGGTGGTGAGCACCCACCTCGGCGGGCCCCTCGCGCAGACCGTGGCCCCACAGCGTCTGCCCCGCCCACGGCCTCGGTGGGCACGGGCGCACGCAATCCCGCGCCTGGCCTCGGCAAGTCCCCTCACGAAACTTGGGGAAACAAAAAGGACCGATACCGCTACAGGGCAATTAACACATAGGATGTTTAAAAACATATCGGATTTGAACACATGGTTCATTTATGCATAAATGTACGCATGAGCTCATCGTTGGTTTCGTACTAATTCCCTGCATGTTTTAATACATGATCCGCACGCGGAGCATGTATATAAAAAAACGGCCCTGCACTCCCCAGACCTCCCAAGGAGGGTGCGTTCTGACGTTCGAGGCGAAGCCGGCGGTGGCAGCGAGGGCTCCCGAGGAGTCCCAGAAAGGGGGGGGCACGGGCCAAGGGCAGAGGCGCAGGGGTACCTCACTCCTCCTCGGAGAGATCGTGCCCCGCGGGGAGAGGTCCGCCCCACAGCTTCGCGGAGCGCGGTGGCCTGCGGGCGCCTCCGCCCGTCTCGGCGCTCTCTCCATCCCCCTATAAGCGTGGCCCCAGAGTCTGCTCCGCACGCCCTCTGCGCGCCGGGCTCACGGCCTCTGGTCCCCACGCTGCCCCGCGACGCGCAGAGCACGGCAGGGGCTCGACCACAGGAGAACGTGCGCAAGAAAAACCCGACCCTGAGCCCCCAGGACGTCCATGGATGTTCGGTGTGGGGACGTCGCGCTCTCCACTGCAAAGCCGTGGAGGCAAGCAGGGTCTTTCTTGGCATGGGTTATCACTGTATGAGGAGAGGGCACCACCCTGCACTGCACGTAACTGCATTCGGTTTGGCCCAACGCCAAGCATGTGTTCGATTTCCACCAGCCTTCTGGACGTAGGTGGTTCCAGGAGTTCTCCCTTGAAACCGCCTCCGCTCCCTTGGAGGAGGGCGCTCCCCCTCCCCCTCCCCCTCCCCCGGGGCCAGGCCCCTGGTTCCCCGAGGGGCTGTCGGTGTGTGCAAAGTGGCCCAAGATGATTGCAAGATGGCCTCAGATATAGCCCGACATGGCCTACAAGATGGCTGTAGCTCAAGATGGCTTCCAGCATAACCCCAGGAGGTCCCGAGACCTCTCCATGGCGGCCCCACGTGGCCCAGGAGCCTCCCAAGAGCATACGTCCGACATGTCAAGCTCACCGAGAAGCACGTGGCGAAAGGGGCCCGTAGGCTCCAAGATGACCTCAAGAGAGCTACAAGAACGCATGGCCCAGGGAGGTGACTCGTCGGGCTCCAGCAGGGGGACCTTCATTCAAAGCCGCCCCTCTTCTTCCCTGCTGGTATCCAGATGTGCAACAAGGCCCCAGAGCTGGGCCCCTAGAAAGCCTCGAGCGGTCCTACGAAGACTCCAAATGGAGCCCCGATGCCGCTAAACAGTGACTCCAAGGAGCTCCAGGAAGAGCCGAGAGATATCTAATTTCAGAACGGTCGACCTCTCGGCTAGACGTAAGAGTGACCCTTGGCAAGAGTGACCTTTGGTGCGCGCCTTTCAGGGAGGCGCGAGGAGGCCAAACACAAGCGCGCAAGACGCTACTATTTCACCGAGCGCGGCGATCGGGGGACCCCAGTGAGCGCGCACCAAAGGTCACTCCGGCGAAGGGTCACTCTTACGTGCAGCCGAACCTCGCTGCTTCACCCCATGGTAGCCCGTGACGTCTTTTCTGGATGTGCTGGTGGGGTTGCTTTTTTGGTCGCAGCCGCAGGCGATAGCGCAAGCGGCGAGTCGTAAGTCCGGGGCGCGGGCCTACTAATTAAAACATAAGCAAGCTAGAGCGGCATAGCTGGTGGGGTTGCGCCACGCGTCAAGAACTTGGGCCAAAGCACTTTGCCGGTCCAGCAGCACAGAAAGTCCACCCACGGCGCGAACTGCTTGCGAGTGCTGGGGGTCGAGAACTTTGGAGTCCGCGCGGATCTGGACCTCCTCTGGTCCACCTGCGTCGCAGCCTTGGGTGTCGTACCTTCTCCCCCCCCCTCTCCTCCTCGCCCCTGCGCGTGCGCGCTGGCTAAAGGGGGGGCCGTGGCCTGTTTAATGCCCAGGCCCATCCTGTCGAGGGACCGTGGCCGCCGAAAGCTCGCACAATGGGGCCGCTAAGCACGACTATCACACACATGAGCCGTGCACCGCAGCCTTGAGATCGTCAACTGCTGTTCTGTGCCGCACACGGCAGCCCACGCGCGCCAAGACGCACCGCGGAGTCGTTGGGCAGTTGGCAGGCGGGTGGCGGCGGGCCCGCAGCGGCCTGCGTCGCGAGCTGCGTCGGCGCCCTTCGAGGAGAGAGTCCTTGACCAAGCAGATCCCCCGGCGTAAAGGCGATCTCTTTTTCCCCGGCGGCCCGTGGATACCTTCCGGAGTGGCTCAGCGATGGCGGGACGCGCGGCGCTGCGAATCAAGCACACACAGTGGCGATGTAGGCAGGGGCCCCAAGCGTTGCTCACCAGCCCGCCCTTGGCTCCCTCACTATTCACATGCTGCTCACCACGAGCTCCTCTCCCCCCACCCGAGGGTGCTGGTGCACGCAGACGCAGGCTTGCGGCCCCCCAAAGCGCCTTGTAGTCCGAGCAACAGTCGCCGCGGTCTTCACACTTCGCGTCGCACTGGCACTCCTCCCACCCGTGCGGCCTACACCAGCCACATCTTGCGTCTTCTTGCGGCCTACACCAGCCACACCTTGACGATTCTGAACAAATGCGCACCCGACAATGATCCGAGACCCACGATTCAGAATATAAATGAGTCGCTGCTTGGCACTTTGGAGCGCCTCTCTGGGCACATCGAGGGGGTTTCCGACTCCTCCTAAGGTGCCCTGGTCTGTCGGCCCTCGTACCATGCAACCTTATCCATTCTTGGGAATGAAAGGGATCTGCAATAGAAGGGGTAGAAGGGGGAGGAGCGACCGACCCTTGACATGAAGGCACGTTCTGGGCCAGGATACAAGTTTACAACGCTCGAGCGCAGAAAAGCATGTGCAGTGGTGATCTCGAGAGTTCTGGTGCAGGACAGAACTCCCACTAGGCTCCTGCGTCTCACGCACGGCTCCAGACCTGATGAGCCTTGAGCAGCGCCCGTGCACATCACCCTGCAAGTCCGCCTTACCTCTCTCGCTTCGCCCTGCCCATGTTGCTCGCACCGCCTGCTGCCCACTCTGTCAAACCAGGGGAGCAGACGGATGCCGCCAGCCTCTCCCCGGAACTCTACAAGGCCGCGCTGTGGCCGGGACTCCGAGGCGGATACAGCCCGGGCGACGGCGACGGACGGCATCGGCATCGGCATGCTGCTCCTCACCTCATGCCCCGTGCAGCATGGCGTGGCGTGTGCCACGGATGAGATTTGGATGGATAAGGGATCCAGGGGCTCGCGGCCCATGGAGACCCGGCCGTCGGATAGCAGTTGCTGCTCATCGAACTACCTCGCCTCGACAAAACCTGCCGCCGTGTGTTACGCATCGGCAGAATCGACCGAGCACGCTGCCTTGACAGGAATCGGAACGAGACTTCGGCCATCTCAATACCTCTGTGTGTTAGAATGCTGTCATAACGTTGTGTTTAATGCTCCAGGGCATTCCCCCGAACCCCTTGCCTTAACATCATCGCTCCCTCCCGTGTGGTTACTGAACTGGCCAAGGCGCATCCGAGACAACTTCATGCATGGAAGTCCCGAGACCGCCTCTGGGGTCTTCCAGAGGGCCCCATGACGCTCCTTCTTGACGCCCCAGCAGGCCCGACGGGCGCCCACGTGTCAGGAGGGGATGACACCAAATCCGCACAAAATCCTCCGACCCCTTGTGGGTCTCGAGGCGTGTGAGATCCCTCCCCCCGAATCCCCCACAGGGAGGGACCTCAAGCCGTCCATTTGACACCCCCCCCCGGCCGCCCACGACCGCAGGGTGAACTCCTCAGGGGGGGCCCCGCTCCCCTTATGAAGCTCCGCCTGACGCACCCGAATTCACCAAGAGGCCCCCACGAGGCCTCCAAGACAGTCCACGAAGGCCCCGAGACGCCCAAATACTGCTCCAAGACGTCGAAGAATGCCCCCTGGACAACGTAGGAAGCCCCCAAGGCGCCCAAAGAGGCCGCCAAAAGACTTCCTAAAATGGACACGAGGGGCAAAAATTGATGATGTATATTTTAGCGTTCTCGCCTCCGACGCTCCAAGACGATCCAATGGGCCTCCCAAATCGCCCCAAAGCCAGTCAAAGAGGCCCCCGGGGCGGCCCTAAGACGGTCCACAAGGGCCTCAAGACGGTCCAAGAGACGCCCAAGACGGTCCCAAAGGGCACCCTAACGGTACCAAGAGAAGCCCCACAGTGGAACCACGAACAGAAAATTCGAACTCTCCGATCCGAGAAGGCATCAAGATGGCAAAAGACGGCCCAAGAAGCTCCCCAGAAACTTCCAAACTCTTGCAAGACACTGGTCATGGCAGACATATTCAATGTTAATGCTTCTGACATTACGGGCTTCTGTGTCGTTTCGCGCTTTTGCTGCTTATGACTCCTGAAAGCTCCCCAGACTCGAGACTTCCACATGGCGGTTCCGAATATCGTTGGCAGGACACTTGTTATGGCAAGAATGTTAACACTCTCTGGTTGTTCAACGGTTTCTGTGCTTACTCGCCTTTTTGGGCTTGTGCCAGCCAATGCCCTCAGGAACTCACTCTTCTGGACGCTCCGGAATACATCTATGATGATACAACAGGGGCACAAAACCACTGGAGGTCCCGCACAGCCTTTCGAGCGAGCCAGAGCAACCCTGGTGATCGCCGTGGTGGAATCCACCACACCCCGACAGCCGCAAAGCAAAAACAAAGGGTCGGCGGACATGTTATGTTGCATCCTCAGAAACCTTGTCTGTCCCGTCGCGGCCATATCCGCGTCAAATCCGTGTCGAATCCATGTCGGTCTCGTCGGATCTGCGTCGAATCCGTGTCGAATCCACTTCGGGTCCACGCCAAATCCGCGTCGAAAATTTTTGGGACAGGCGAGGTCCCCCGAAGATGCAATGTGAGGACCCCTTCCAAGGTCCATGTGGTGCTGCTTTTCACTCCGGATCCATTTCAGACGGCCCTGGGGCCCGAATACGGCCCCCAGAGGCAGAAGAAGGCAACCAACCTTCTCGAACGCACCATCTCGAACCCCTTCCCCCCCCTTGCTCGCCGGAGCCAGTGCTGGGCCACCTCAGACCCCCAGCCGGCTCCAACCCTGAGGATACCCCAAGTGGGCCTTCCAGCAGGCCTTTGGGAGGCAAGGCGCGTGCACACGTGCTGGGCTCAGCAACCCGCGGTTGCAGGTCAGAGTGCGGCAGCGGCCGGGCTGGCGGGGCGTCCGCTGGATTCGCCATGCGACCGCTGACCCAGACCTGCTGACCTGCTGATCCTACTTCTCCCCCCCCCTGCTCCAGCCTGGTCCCCTCTACCCCCCTCTCCGCCTGCTCGCGAGTCATCATTTACGCTCCATCCTCCTCGGCTCTACTGAAAAGCCCGTTGAAACACGATGCCAAGAGGTCCACCACGCCCTTGTGCCTTCACTTGAGACGCATGGTGAGGGCGGGACAAGAAGAAGAGGGATGATGCCGCGGAGGGGGAGGAGCGGAGGGTGGGGCACAACCGCACCTCCCTGCCTGCGCTGACAGGGACACCGCTACTGCCTCAAGATGCACAGGCAGATGCCAGCAAGGTTAAGGTGGACCCAGCGGGTACTAAACTCAAGCCTGGAATGCTGACCGGGGCTGCACCACCGATGCTCTCACACTCCGACCCCCCTGTCTTCGGTGTATACGGCTTACTGGCTCCACTTCTGGGGAGAAGCTGCGTACTGAAGACGCCCAGCCCCGTTCCGTTTAGTAAGCCCCTGCCCTGGAATGAGTACGAATGCTTCCCGAGCCTCCAAGTCGAGTACCACTCTGGCAGCAAAGTCCAGCGCGAGCCGACGAACGTGAGGTGTTGGCATGGGCATGGGTACTCTGAGCAGCTGGACCACCGACCGGAGGTTGCTGGAGGAGGTGCAGTGGAGCAGCTTCCATCACAGCGATCTAAAGGAGACATGCTCGCACAGCCTCCTTTCTAGGCCCCATGCGAGTAAGACTTCTCAATAACAGGTCGGGGCTTTGAGTCTGAAGGATGTCTGCAGCCTGGTGAACCCCAGAGGGGGTGCACGGCGTCCAACACCCCAGCGTCGATCGGACCTGTAGGTGTAGGGTTCGCAAGCGGTCACAGACTTTGCCTAATGCACAGACTATCCTCACTTGAGCCTGATCGGAGACCGACGGGCCTGTGACCAGCGCGCCAAGAGTGCCCCACAGCCTCAATGAACCTCGTCGTGCGAAGCCCTTATGCCTCCGGCGCGTTTTGCGCCAGAGCCGTTCGCATCCTGGCGCAGGACGAGCCAGCCCAACGATTCGGGGCACCAGCCGCGGCTGCGGACACAGTCATGGCGCTGCCATGAGGACGGCGAGGTCTCGCTCAGATCTGCGCGGTGCCTCACTCCGCTGGACCCACCAGCAGCCCTCGAAAGTGGCGACAGTTTCGCAGATGGCAGCCCCCCAGGGAGGAGCTTGTCCAGCCACGGTGAGGCCTCGGCCTTGAATAAACTCCCCGACCAAGACCTGCGGGACGGTCTGAAAACCAGAGCCCCGCCTGAGCCCCAAATGGTTCTGATTTCACGGTCTGCACTGTACAGTCGGGGCGTTGACCTAAGGAACCCTAAATAAGGAACGAGGCCCCTTTTTCCCCAAGTTAAATTTTCATTTCCTATCGAAAGCATGAGGAAAACCTGAGGCAAGCTGCGAAACACTTAAGGAACGCGGAGCCCCTCCCCAACGAAAAGGGTTCCTTATTCAGGGCCCCGACTGTACCCCAAACATTGGGAAGCCACCAACAAATCGTCGGACCATTTGCGTACGATGTGCCACACCTTGGGCGGCAACCTCCGTTGTCATACAATGTTCTGGCCGGGCGCTTACCATGGCAGAGGATCCTAGCAAGCAGAGCACTGCTCCCTCTGCGCTCCAGGTCGAAGTTGACGTCCCTGCAGCCGAAGATCGAGCACCAAGCCTGTGTCGTTGTCTGAGTCCTTGTCGTAACTGCCCCCCACAGGGCGGGGCACCGAGAGGATGGCGCCGCAATGATCCGGATTGGGTGAGGAGGGGGCGAGTCGAGGGAGTCCTGTGCAGTGCCCGACCCTCCCCACGCTCCTTCCCTTCAGGAGGGAAAAAAACACACAGACACAATGAATCGTCGATTTCCCAGAAACTATGGGGAACTATGGGAAATGGGGGGGAAGACAACAAGCCAGAAAATATAGGAAAAGATGGGGAATAGTTTTATTTCTGTGTATTTATTTGTGTGTTCCA